ATGGTAGGTGTCGTATATAAGGAAGTACGACACCGGTGTCGTATAGAACACTACCGTAATTACTAGCGTAAGGAACCAGGGAGGGTGTTCATGTGTGTGCATATGTAGGAAGGATANGCTACACAGCGCATTTTGTTGTACGCCGATTGGAGCCCTGTGGGCCAAGAAATGGTAGGTGTCGTATATAAGGAAGTACGACACCGGTGTCGTATAGAACACTACCGTAATTACTAGCGTAAGGAACCAGGGAGGGTGTTCATGTGTGTGCATATGTAGGAAGGATATGAGGAACGGTTCTGTGTTCCGTACATGAAGGGACCCGCTGTGGTACCTGTTATAATAGACTTGGATGAGTCTGGGGTGCCCCCATGCTGCGTCAGCCTGTGTGGGGCACTCTCTTTCTCCACTGTCTGTCGTGCGTTTGTCCTGCGGATCTAATACAAGCAATCAACGAGACTTTCTAGTCACTGGACACAAATACGGGCAAACCCGGCAATCACTCCGGCTCTAGGAGTGGTCAACACGAGGTACGCGTCCCAGGTCCGAGACTTGTCGTCTTCGTTGATCCGGTTTGCTTCGTAGATGTGGGTGGCTCGCTCCGACAGCTCCGGGTGCCTCTTCAGGAACCACTGAAGCCAGCGATCCCCCGGGCCCTTGTCTGCATCCCAGGGCACCTTGCGCCCGTCGAGGCAGATCTCAGCACAGCGTCTTTCAGCTCCCTCAGACCCAACAGCAAAAAGTGTCAGGAAGCGTAGACCAAGACATAATTTACGAAATCTTCCTCCTCCTTGCTCAGGACAGTCCGGGGACCAATCTTTGCATCTATGGCCACCTTGTTAGTCACACGGCTGTGCAGCAAGTTACTGCTCAACCCGTAGGCGTCGGCGGCACCCCTGACTGACATCTGACCGCTGTGTACCGCATCAACAGCCTTTTGGGCCTGCTCTGGGTCCAATCTTGCCAGCCCCATGCTTAGCAGCAGGAGCCCGACAAAGGCAAAATCGCCCCGCATCACGGGTGTGGAAGGAGTGGGTGCTGTATCTCGGGGATGCGTTACCCGATCGGCGCGCTGAAGTGCTTGAACGAAAGCGAACGGAATGCTATGAATTTTGGAAATGGAAAACATACAGGGGTCCCCGCGGATCGTGCGGGGATACACGCCCATTCAAACACTGTGGGGGGCTATGGGGGGTGTCCCTTAATAGGTCGGTTACTCTGTATGCACTTGGTAGGTATAGCCTCTCCGCTGACGTTATGGATTGAATCCTGCAGCAGTAGCTTTATTCATTCATTGCTTATATTCTATCTTGCACTTTTTTCTGAAGTTCGAGGAGAGATGGATTCATTCTTTGTGTCACCGATACTAGACCCCGAGTTGGGGGAGTTTTTTCCGCGCGCACCATCACAACAGCATAACCCGTCCTGCGGAAAGTACCTGCAGTAGGCTGGGTCGTGCGCCCCCCGTGAATATGTGTTGCTTTTGTTTTGGTACACACACCCGAAATGTTGTTGATGCGATGTTGTGTTGATGCGAATCGTTGTTGTCAGCACTCCGTATGCGTTAATTAATGAAGTAGAAAAAAATGCCCCACCACTCAGAACACAGCAGCAGCAGAATATTTGAACTAGCACGCGAGTTGTCGCCGATCGTGAGCCCCTCCTCACTACGCCCTGTCGTGGTGTGCAAACCACACGCGAACACCCTCTGTGATATGCAGATAGTGAAAGCGAGCTGTAGAGGAGGAGATGCGTGGTAGCTGGTCTGAACACGTTCCAAAGTTGGCCACTCGGTGTGGACGAGGTCAAAAAAAGAACACAGCAGCAGCAGAACCAAACCGACACACACGTAGCAGCAGAACCAAGCCGACACACACGTGTCCCAAATGACAGTTGAAGGACGTCGCAAAGAGAGGACAAACCGGGTGTGAACGAGTGACTTGAGGGTTGGTGCAAGGAAACTACGACGCGAGAAGTGTTCACCTATTAGGAGTAGGCTTGGGCACTCGTTTTTTTGGCAGAACGTCGCCAATTGGCGCAGTTATCGATGAAACGGATTGTGAATAGAGTCTATATCGGCACCGAGCGCAGCGACGCGGGCACGAAATGAGAAACGCTTGGGTGCGGAATGATGGCCTTGTTACGCTACAGCTTGCGCACTTTTCCGCACCGAAAACGATCCTCAAACGGCTTGTTTATCGGTGCAAAGGTGGTGCGAACACACTCTCAAACGTCATGGGCTACTGATCGACCAACTTCCACCAGGGCCAATCGGTTGGGATCTCTGCGACAACGATAGTGGTGAGAGAAATTATTTTGAGAGTGACGAAGACGAAGGAAAGGGAAAGGGGAGAAAGGAGGATGAAGACGACGATGGAGCAGGAAAACATGGAGGAGTGGAAGAGAGCAAAGGGTTTGAGCCAGATGACCTTCCCCACAACAAGAACGTAGGGCTAGGGAAGAACTGCCCAGAGATTCTTCTTGTCGAAATGGGGATCAGAATGATGGTAGCGAAAACAAGCGAGTATTTCAGATGGATCCAACCTGGGGGGGAGGAGTCTGAAATTGGTTTTTATTGGAGTTGATGAGAAGTGAGCATTTATTATTGTGTGCAAAAAGGATGTCTGCGTGCGTATAGAAGAGGAGGCATGCGCACCGAGCGAAGGCAGCTGCTCGCAGGACATTCTGTTTGCGCCCGATCACGTTGAAGCATCATCAGTGCTGGAGCACAGGGACTGCTAAACGTACGAGTGGACAACACTGCCAGCTACTACCTGTTAAGACGTTCTGTTCCGGGGAGCTAGTGTTGTCGGCTTTGCTGGCGGGGCGAAGACCAAGAATCGGGGCGACGGAGTCCGTACGCCGTTTTCGGAGAGGAAGCGTCGACCANGCACAGGGACTGCTAAACGTACGAGTGGACAACACTGCCAGCTACTACCTGTTAAGACGTTCTGTTCCGGGGAGCTAGTGTTGTCTTCTTCGCCGGCGGGGCGAAGACCAAGAATCGGAGCGACGGAGTTCATACGCCGTTTTCGGAGAAGAAGCGTCGACCACTTTGGAAATTGATCGGTGCATCGGCGGCAAGCCGGCCGGGGGCGGAGATATGAGCGGGGACGAGCACTCCTCCGACGAGTCCGTGATCGGCCGCGGCGTGTATGAGGCGTCGCGGCAGGACAGCGCTAACGAGCGAGCCGTCATCTGCGCCTCTGTGGAGGACCTGAAGGCCGAGATGGGGGTGAGGTTCACGGAGGTGCTGGCAGCCGTGCGTGATCGGGGCGGCGGGGCCGCCGCGGGTGGCGCTGCCGGAGCTGCACCAGCGCCCGGATATGGGGGCGCGCGTGCAGCTGCCGGCGGGGCGTCGGCGCCCACGTATGAGGGCGCGAACGCGGGTTACGGGCTCCACAGCGTGGAGTCGAGTCCCGGGTTGCTGCAGGGCGCTGGTCGGTACGGCAGTGGGGGCGGCTTAGGCTTCACTCCCGCGATTTCGTCCCCGTTTGGAGCGGGAGGCCTTAACGTCGACTCCGGGGGATACGGGATGGGCACGGGGATGTTCCACGCCCA